TCTAAATTAACTTTTTAGCACAAATTTTTCTGAAAGCAATTGAAAAATAAGTCATTGGAATCATTTGAGATGAGATATAGACTTCATTTGGGACTGCTTTTATACTGATTCTTAAAACAACTTTTGAGTTCAAAATTTTAATTTTGTACTAGAAAGCTGTTTTAAAAAGCAATAAGAAAATCATCTCAAATAAAATCATAGTCATAGTAGAAGTTAAATCCTTACAATAAAAATTGAAGAGAAAGAGTTTGCATGTTGGAAATTGAGACAAGAGTTTGAAGAATTGAAGGCTATACTAGGCTCCAAAAAAAGCTTTGATGAAAGCAATGAAGCATGTGCTAACACCACATAAGTTAATAATTCTATAAGTGATTTTGAAATAAGATTCCTTATTTATCTATCCCTTGAATATATATTTTTTCATATATTAATAAGTTTGGCTGATGTTTATAATCGAAGTATTGGAAATAATGATTATAATTGATGCACTCTAAATTTCATGTAAGAGTGATCCAATTTTTTGAGAAATTCCCCCCTATAGAAAATTAAGCCCTTTAGAAGTCTTTTAGTCATTTTTAAAATCTTCAAATCCTGTTATAAATGTAACATATCATTATTAAATCTTCGAGTTAGCAATAAAAAGGATATTACCAACATAGTGATCTTGATTCTGTAATTGATAAGTGGTTTATTATACATTATGTGCTCTTTAGAGCTTCTATATCAGCTTATATGCATGACATATTTAGATGAATAAAGTTAGGGGTATCAACTTCGGGTCACGGGTCGAGTTTGGGTCGAACCCGAACTGACCCGGGTTCAAACGGTTTGACCCTAACCCGACCCGGGTAGGAAAACGGGTTGGAAATCCGAACCTGGACCTGACCTGGCGGGTTGTCGGGTTGACCCGACCTGACACAGACTCGGACGCACGCGGGTGCGCGATGGCACGGACTTGGACTCTAACGCTGGACGCACGCTGGCTGGCGAGGCGAGCGGCAGACACGCAGGCGCGTGATGGCACGGACGCGCATGGGCAATTGCGTGGGCAGCCTAGGGCGCGAACAATTATTACGTCCTCTGACCTGACGTAGAGGTACGTTCGGCCGTCAATAACATGTCGCCACGTGCTCTTACTCTTTACCGCGCGACCCGACGACTTGACCCGGAGCGGAACCCGGGAATGCTATTTTCGCGATTTTCTCGGTATTTGCTCGGTATTGCTTTGCAAAAACGAGAAATACCGCTCTGTGAAGACCAAAACTATACAAATACCGAGTTGTACCGAGTTTTTCTAGAACTCGATACAACTCGGTACAACTCGGTATTTGCTCAGGATTTGCTCGGTATTGCTAGGGATTTGCTCGGTATTGCTAGAAAAAACTCGGTACAACTCAGTATTTGCTCGGTATTGCTAAGGATTTGCTCGGTATTGCTAGGTATTTGCTCGGTATTGCTAGGAAAAACTAGGTACAACTCAGTATTTGCTCGGTATTGCTAAGGATTTGCTCGGTATTGCTAGGTATTTGCTCGGTATTGCTAGAAAAAACTCGGTACAACTCAGTATTTGCTCAAGATTTGCTCGGTATTGCTAGGGATTTGCTCGGTATTGCTAGGTATTTGCTCGGTATTGCTAGAAAAAACTAGGTACAACTCGGTATTTGCTAGGTAATTGAAATATATCGAAAAGATGATGGGATGTTGTTCGGCTCGTCAAGGATTTAAAAAAACGCACGCGCTAGAACCCAAAAAACAGCGGGTCAGGTCGGCGACTTTTCTTCATGCTACGTGTCGCTAAAATATTGGTGGCCGAACGTAGGGCGCACGGTAACGTGCTGGCAGGCGTGGGCAGGCTGGCAGCTTCACGACAAGGGGCAAGGTAGCAGCGCGGGCAGAGTCGGGTGGGGTCCTCGGGTTTAAGAATTTTATACAATGAGATTCTTTGAAATAACATATACCCTATAAGACTTATGACTTTTTAAGAATTTTATAAGTAATATATACTTTATGAGACTTACGATTTTTTGAGATTTTTGAAAAGAACCTATCCTTTCTAAAGCTTATTCCTTTAAAGATTTTCTCCTTTTAAGATTTTCGGAAAGAACTTATCCTTTTGATACTTATGATTTCTGAAATTTTTAGAAAAAAATTTGAGATTTCATAAGCTTATAAGCCTTCTAAATTTTTAGAAAAAAATTTATAAGCTATATGCATTCTAATATTTTTAAATTAGTAGAGATCTTACCAACCACTTGTTCATGTAAAGTCTTTTTAATGGGAACTCCATCCAATACTAGCTTTGCTTTCAAACTATCTTATAAGCATAAATTCTAAAAGTTTGGAGTGGAGATATGCCTACAACTTACCCTCATGGTTCTTTGTAACTAAGATGAAATCTTATTTACAAAACAACATATCATTAATATCAAATATATAATACATGATAGCTTAAAAATTATATTTTTGTGGGATATAAACTCTTTTAAAAATCTCAATCATGTAACAAGCTCAAAATTTTTTGGTTGCTTGAGCAACGGGGATCGTTTTATTGGATATATTGGAGATAAGATGACCGAGCTAATAAATTTTTTTTTTTCTTATTTCTCTAATACATCTAAGTTTAGAAAACTTGATGTTCAAGATAGGAACATATGCTACATCCATAAAATTAAATTGTGCATATATAGTGAATATTACATGGTAGATCAAACTAGTATCTACTATCATAAAGTGGAATAGAATGTTTGATTGAAAGGAAAAAAGATCAAAAGCCTTTATAGTGCATCCTCCAACACCACAAATATCATGAAGATTAGGTTAAAATTCAATTTGAGGTAATCCTAAATTGATGAAGGTGGATACAGAGAATACCAATTGAACTACATGTATCAATCAAAATCTTTGTCGCTTTAATAGTACATATCATAATTCTAGTTAAGTTGATTAGAGAATTTTGATGTGAATAATATATTCCCTCAAAATTATAACTATAAAAGAATGGTGTTACATTTGGTGGAAAGACACTTATAGTCTCTTGGCTAATCCCGGATCTTTAAATGGATATTTAGGCAACACATGCATGAATACTCTTATGTTTGCTAGAAGATTGTTCAATTTGCTTTTGATGGGCATGATGGCCTCATCAATAATAATTTGTGCATGTCCTCAATGAATAAGATTAATTTATAAGCGAACTATCTATGGTATATGTAAGAAGTAAAAAGGACTAAGGTGAAGACCTATGAAAAATACCAGAAGTAACTCAAGATCTATTATTGGAGTTTGTTAAGCATTTGCAAAGAATATTTAGAAATACACATTAAGGGTCTCACCCTCATTTTGTTGAATAATAGAAAGATGAGAGACAATAAATAATCCATCGATTTATAATGAACAACTCAACAAAAAAGCCTGGTGAGGTCAATGAAGGTGTGAATGATCATATTGGATATATAATAGAACCAAATACAAGCTTGGATCTTAAATGTAGCAAGGAAGACCAACTAAATCTTGTTGAACATGAATGATAATCCTATAATGATAGATGTGTTTGTAAGGATCAGATGACCCATTATATGGGTCTACAGTAGGCAATTTGAATCATATTGGAATGTGATGTTGAAGAATAGCATCGATTAAGGACAATGTTACCTAAAAGCAATGACAAGGAGAAAATTGATTCTTATCCCATAAAGGAAATTCCTTTTTAAAGGAGATGTATATGTTTTTAAGATATCATAAAGTGTGTCAATAAGGTGAGGTCTAATTAAACCCTATAAAGTTGATTGGGTAAGTGTTGAGGAGATCTTTATTATGAGGTTGTACTGCATAAACTTGAACATGATGATGATTGGATCCTACATAAGTGCCATCAAATTGATTAACCCTGACATGTTAATTTTATTGCGGATGAACTCCATCATGATGTAAAAGTGCTCCTTATTGTCTAATCTCCTCTAAGAGCTTAAAGATTTGGGCTTGATGTTCCTCTATCATGTTCATATGATTCTCCAAAGTCAAGCATTGGCTGCCTTAATCAATTGGATTATGTCGTTGATTGAGGGATTATTTATTAGCTATTGAAGAAGTATTTATAGTATGTAGGAAATATTTTTCATAGAACATGCAAAATCTTTGTATTAGAATATCTATCATTGTTGAATGAAAGACTTTAATATCTTATTTTTATATGAATATCCAACATACATATAGATAAAATAAGATTACAAAAGATAATATAGTTTTGTTTGAAAAACTCAAAAATATAAAAAAACACGTGGCTTGATCTAATTTAAATAGTCCACTCTATAAGAAAGATTACAAAATTTTGTTATTTCCCTTAATAGAAGACCACAAAATTACAAGTAGAATCCTAGCTTGTCCTCATGTGATTGTAGTAAAGAATATTGAACAGTTATGTGATGAAAGTCAAGCAATGGCAGTAGGGAGACAATCATCCGACAATAAAAGTTGAGCGATTGTGATCAAGAGAGGTGACAACTATCAAACAACGATAAGTTACAACACTCAGGCAATGAGGTTCAAGCAATAGTGATTGGATGACAAAGGCCATTTCATCGATCGTCAAACATACCATATCTCCTCAAATTTAACTCATAGTCTCCTTTATGAGGACGATCGATGTCCATTTATTATTTTTTCAAAGTGACATTATAATAAATTTAACTAAAATTTCAAAACACTCTATAATTCTAATAATAACTATTCTTCCATCATTCAAATGTCTTAACAAGTCAAAATTGAGTAATCTTGAAAATTTTACCTCGTTCAGACGACCGGAAAATTTAGAGATTGTTTTGTTCTTCAAATAGGATCAGATAGTTTTAAACTAATCTTCAAATACTTGATTAAGGTGACATTTCAAGAATAAAAATAATATTACAAAATTGACTAAATTGGGTGAAGATTTATCTCATTTTTACTCTGCATTATTTATTATGTATTAATAATTGATATATTAATGAAGAATTGTCAAGAAATAAAAATAAAACAAAAAATAATAATTATTTTAGTTCTTAAAAGCTTGAACTACACTTACCTAATAATAATATCTTATTAATTACATGCTAATAAGAGCATTAAGAAAACCCTCATACTTTGTAGATGATGAGGAAACAGGGGAGCACAGCCCGCGGGTCGATGACCAGGAGCTCCGATTTACCAAGGCAGACCGAGTCAGCCTCCGAATTTGGGCCGAATGGATCTCTGACCCGACCTGCAATAACCCGACAAACGAGCATGGCCCGACGGCCCGTTCCTCGGCCTGAATTCTCATGGGCCGCGCCGCTACCAGCGAAGGTACGAACGCCCTCCAGTTTGCCCACCGCACATCGGGCAACGCCGGCGTCGTAGATCTCGCCTCCGGCTGCGAAGGAGGAATGGAATCGCATCATCTCGTTACCGTCGGCGGCGCAACGAGGGTCGTCGGCGCGGGAGCGGACGGCGGCTCGGCACTCCTCAAAGCGGGCGACGGCAAGGGGTGGATTGTGGACACGGAAGAGCATCTCGATCTCACCGGGGAATGGTGCGCCGAGGGAGGACCAACTCGAGCGGAATATTATCTCAACCACGCGACGGGAAGAGTGGCTTTGCGGGAGATTGTCGAGAGTTGGAAGGGGTAGGGTAGCCGGCGGCGAAGATGTAACGGTAGATTGCTTGGCTTTTGGCTTCGGTCGGGATTTGGGTTTCGGATTAAGGGTTTTAGATAGGGTTTGGGATCGATTCCGTTGGGAGGTTTTGGCGGGGGAGGAAGAGGAAGTAGGGGATGGGGGATTGTTAGGTGGAGGAGGGAGTTTATGGGAGATGAGAAAGAGGGCGTCGCGAAGAGCCTGGGAGGAGCTACGGCAGGAAAAGGCCGGTGCGTGGAGAATCTTCGCCGGTGCCATGCGCTTAGGGAGGTAAACGTCTTCCACGGCATTGGATTTGCAGTGCAGCGACTTCAGCCAGCCCGTCGCCATTGATGCTGAGAGAGAGAGAGAGAGAGAGAGAGAGAGAGAGAGAGAAAGGGCAAAGAGGGAAGAGTCCTAAATCTGCCCTTCAGATTTTGTTAATAAAGTAAACTTTCTCCTGATGCGAATTTATATGTAGCACTTAGAGGTCGGCCCAACTACAAAATAACCAAAATAAAGGTGATTTTTTTAATAAATATAAATTATCAAATAATAAATTTACTAAGCATCCATATTTTAAAATTATTAGTATAATCTTTCAATATTCTAAATTTAGTAATATATTATTTATAATTTACTATTATTATTTTTATAATTTGTAACTATTGATTATATGAAATAATCACATACATTTCAAGACATTTATCTATTAAAAACAATAAATTTTCTTTAACATTATGTTATTATATAGTGCTATGATTAAGTATTTACTTATTTAATTTTTTTATCCATCTATTTTTGACAAATTTTGCTCTAGACGCCACATTATACAAATGAATGAAGAAATATTTATATTATTTATTTTCAGGAGTAAAAATTCATTTATTAATAAAATTCTCTGATGAGGGATAAACTCTTATATTCCTAAATTACTCAATAAAAATATTCAAAATTCATTCGAACTACTACAAAATCGAACCTTTTTTTAATCTACTTGGAGCCTCGATTCATATGGATTGTTACGTACTTAGTTCAGACACAAGCACCCTTTGGTTTTGTCTCTGTGAACAGTAAAAACATATAGTTACTTTTCGATTTGATTATTGATTATTTGCTGGGTATTTAAATGTCCTGAAGATACCAAAATTTAGAGATCTTAGGCTCGTTAGATTTGTCTGATCGAGCCTCTCGATTCGACTATAAGCATGTCACGTTTGGAAATAGTTTGGTCATTCAATTTATGGTTTGAGCATTCCAAATGTAGTTCGGGTCTTTGATTTGGACTTATTTGGGCTCGGATTGAATCGAATTTGATGTAGTTGGGTTTGTCTTTTCGAGATATTCAGTTCGACTATAAGTTTGTTGAAAACGGAGTTTAAATGATCCCATATTTAATTTAGAAGGTTTCGAACTTTATTTTGCCTCGAGACTAGTGCCAATCAAGATAATTTTTTGATGATAAAGATTGAAATAATAAAATATTTTAACAATAAACATTAATTTTATGTATTATATATATATATATATATATACACACACTCATTCAAATCCCCCTTCTATTGTTTACTTATGTTTAACTATATATAATATTGTGTTTGGTTAACAAACCAAATTTATTGATTAGTGTTTGGCAGTTTATTTGTTTTACTCTTATTATGTTATATTATCCTTAAGTTCATATAATTTATTATTTTATTTTATTTTATTTTCATTCATAAGGTTTACTTTATAGTAAGCATATGAAATAATTTGATATTTTATTCTAATATAAATCTTTTTTCTATTTAAAATATTAGGTTAAATATATTTGCAAAAAATTTAATTTTTGGCAAGAAATTTGTTTTTAATATTAAATAGTGTAACTAAGGCTTATTATTCATCTCTTTGGATAAAGTAGAGTATGGGATAATCTTGTGATTAAGTTAATGTCAGTTATATTTTTATATTTAAAATGTTAAATATATTTGTAAAAAAATCTAAGTTTTGGAAAAAAAAATAATTTTATTATATTAAATAGCATAACCAAGGTTTACTATGCATCTCATTGGATAAAGTATTGGATTATTTTTTGAAAATGGGGTTGTTTGGTTTGAAGCGAAATTGGTTAGAAGCATTTTAAATATAGAGGTTTTGAAAATATTGATGTTTAATTTCAAGTAAGAAAAATATAGAGTAAAATTTTGATGCTTTTGGAATGTACTATTTAGTATAAATTTTAAAGTATTTGGAATTTGATAAATTTGGACTATTTTCAAATATGTCTTAAATTTTTTATCATTGTAATCGGCTACCACCACCACAAGTTGCAACCTCCATCGGCCAGCAACGACCATCCCTGGCCACTGCTAACCACCATCGATTGGTGCTAGCAACCACCGGTCGCTGCTCCCTCTGTTGCTAGCTCACCACTGCCTTCCAATGGGAACCACCGTATTTGGCCTTTTACTCAACATTCATTTTACTTTAAGAAAAAAATAAAATGATAAAAATCACTTGTATTTATTTTAACCCATCAAAATAACTTAAAACTAATGCCTTGGTTGTTAGATTTGGACCAGTAATTAAAATCAAATTATTGTGACTAAAGGGACGAAATCCGCCTCTTTTTCAATATCAAGCAAAATAGGATTGTGAAATGGAGAATCTAGCTAATGAGTGAAATAGAAAAAAAAAAATTCAAGCAGTTGCATTTATTAAAGATGGGTAATATAGTTAAAATATTTATTCTTCTAAAAAAAATAACTTATAAAATCATTAATTCAATAATCCTCCATGCCTTGGTTCTTGGATTTGGAGGGAGAGGGTTAATTATGATGCCTAGCCATCTTGAATAATTATTACGTCCGGACAAAAAATCGGAAATCCGAACGTATACCGAGCAATACCGAGTGCTCGGTAACGAGCTCCAGGTGACGTGACGCGTAATTATTGGTCTTTGAACGTGTCATGTGACCTGACGTAATAATTGCTCAGCCATCTTTGCTTTTGCAGGTTGTGAGCACACAAAAAATTGTGAAGTGTTTTGGACTTTTAAGAGGTTCATTAGCAATCATTAGCTAACATGTATGGAATGGAGAGGAGGATTATGATGGTAATTAGTGGAAAAAATTGACTTACTTTTGCATTATGCCCAATAATCTGTAATGATTATGGACTTAATTATTAAATTATAGAATAAAAGTTATTTAGGTTGGTCGATCTATGGTTGATTTGAGGCACATATTATATTGCATTACTTTTAAGGTTTGAATTGACCAATGTGACTTCATAGGAGATAGGGCCTATGCTAATTAGAAATGTTTTATGATGGATTTAGCTGTCCCTTTTATTTAAGTAGTATTTGTTAATTGAGTGGAATGAACCTAAGGCTTCATTTGAGACGGTTTTTTTATTTCTTTTTAAAATATTTTTTTTAGCACAAAAAATTAATTTTTTTTATTAAAAAATTATTTTAAGAAGCAATAAGAAATCCGTCCCAAACGAAGCTTAAGTTTGCTAACAAATTCATAATTATGTTTATTTTTAGCACTTTGGTTATAGGTTTCGTTTGGGACATGTTTCAGCTTATTATTTTTTAAGTTATTTTTTAGTACAAAATTTTAGTTTAAAAAATTTTTGTACTAAAAAGTATTGTAGATTTCGTTTAGGATAACTTTTTTACTATTTTTCAAAGCAGCTTTCTAATAAAAAAGTTTAGTTAAAAAAGTTTTTGCACAAGAATGCTACTTTAAAAAATAGTAAAAAAGTTGTCCCAAATAAAGTCTTAAAAACAATAAAAATGATGTCTGAAATTAAAATAATAAAGAAAGTTAATGATCAAATATATTTTTAATTGTTATAGTAAAATATTTTGCATCATAGAATTAGAAGTTTGGGTCTTTAAATGATTTTAAAATTCATTTTTTAAATTAATTATATGAATAAAATATTTTATATTATTTTAAAATTTAATATTGAAGGGAATAGCAACACCTAGCTAAGAGGACAGTTAAATTGGTGTGTGCTTAGCAAAAGCAATAAAAAAAATTTAAAACCAAGGGATAAGAAAATATTTTTGAATTATAATTTTCTTAACCGATTAAAAATTAAAAAAAAACCAATTAATAAGATAATTTTAAAGATAAAAACTAATAAGATTATTTGGCTATATCCATCATAATGTTATTACAAGTTACAAATAAACTAAGGATTTATGTAAGATATGAGATCATCAACAATCACTTTATTCATTGAGCATAAGTACATAAGAAGTACAAGTATAATGAAGGAAAGTAACAAATCAAAAGAAAAGAGAGTAGATGGATTTTTTGGTGGTTTGAAACCAGCACCAATGTTCACACCTCAAACCTGTAAACTTATTATTTTATTACACGTAATTCTCACAAGTTCACTAACAAGCATTTTATGACGTGGAGACTAGTTGATGCTAAGTCATTTGGTGTCTGCTTAAGATGAATACCAAGGGAACTTTTTACATTAAGGTAGGAAGACATAAGAGCTGAAAAGGATGTAGGAGAGAGGAGATTGACCTCATTCAGAAATGAGGTCAACAATTCTATTAGTTAGGTGGTTTTACTTTGGGTAGTATTTTGAAACTACCACCTATGCCCACACCACAAACTCAAGGTTTCATTACGCGCAATTTACACAAGTTCACTAACAAGCATTTTATGACGTGGAAGTGATGAGTTTCTAAGGATTTGGTTTGTTGTGGCCCAATTGTAAGTAGGATCTGAGGTTATGGTATATGTGAAAACACTAATATTGAATATATGAAGGATTTTGTGCAATCCTTGATTGGTCAATACAACTTACCTCCTACACAATAATGAGTACATGGAAATTCAATTGACATTGATAACTCAAAAAGTAGTTCATAGTGATAAGGACTAACTAGGGATATCAAAAAATTATAATGTAGTGCCTACAAATTGATCATAGATATTATAGGAAATGTGTTTTTGTAGTAGTAGTTTTGAACCGATAATGGAGATCGAATGTTACTTCTAGTATGCAGTTGAGTCGGCAAGCATTCTGGAGTAAGGATTGTGCTATGGAATATAGGACAAATTAGTGCCTCGTGATCTATTACTCTCCATAGATTCTCTCTTAGAAGTTTTAAAGATACTCTTAAAATGTTAAATGTGTGAGTGAACTGACCATAATGTAAGAACTATTTATAAAGCTTATAGTTACGATACATTAAATAGGACGATCATGATCATACAATATGTTCATTAATGTTAAGTATTGTTGCGTGCTAGAATATACGCGGCGGTAGAGTTTATAAATATTCGTCTTAGCGTTGCACGAGTATTCCGCACACAAACAGAAAAGAGAAGTGAACACCAAAGGTTTTTACGTGGAAAACCCAAAAAGGGAAAAAACCACGGGGCCTCG